ATAAGAAAAATAGAAAACCATTAGCAAGAAGGTAACTATTAATCAGATCATATCAGTAATTACATTAACTGTAAATGGTCTAAACATGTTGTTGTTATTATGTGCCATCGAGTCGGACCCGACTCATAGCGACCCCTCCTTGGGTTTCCGAGGCAGTATCATTATGGATATAATTCCCACAGATCGTGGAAATTATAAAACAATATCACTAATATCTCATGCAAGTAAGATCTTACTGAAGATAATTCAAAAACGGTTGCAGAAGTATATTGACAGAGAACTTCCAGAGGTGGAAGATGGATTCAGAAGAGGACATGGAACAAGGGATATCATAGCTGATGTCAGATGGATCTTGGCTCAAGGCAAAGAATACCAGAAAGATGTTTACTTGTGTTTTATTGACTATGCAAAGGCATTTGATTGTGTGGATCATGACAAATTATGGATAACATTGAGAAGAATGGAATTCCTGAACACTTGATTGTACTCATGAAGAACTTCACCTACTTTCACCAGGAGGCTGTCGTTCGAATGGAACAAGGGGACACTACATGGTTTAAAATCAAGAAGGGAGTGCGTCAGGGTTGTATCCTTTCCCCACACTTATTCAATCTATATTCTGAGCAAATAAACCGAGAAGCTGGACTATATGAAGGAAAACGTGGCATCAGGATTGGAGGAGGAATCATTAACAACCTGAGATATGCACACGATACAACTTTGCTTGCTGAAAGTGAGGATGACTTGAGGCACTTACTGATTAAGGTTGAAGAACACAGTCTGCAGTATGGATTACATCTTAATATAAAGAAAACAAAAATCCTCACAACTGGACCAATAAGCAGCATCATAATAAATGGAGAGAAGACTGAGGTTGTCAAAGAATTCACATTGCTTGGTTCTACAATCGATGCCAATGGAAGCAGCAGTCAGGAGATTAGATGACGTGTGGCACTGGGAAAGTCAATTGCAAAGGAACTGTTTCAAGTGCTGAGGAGCAAGGATGTCTCCTTGAGGATTAACATGCACCTGACAGAAGCCATGATATGTAAAATCACCTCGTATGCATGTGAGAGCTGGACAATGAATAAGGAAGACCGAAGAAGAGTTGATGCTTTTGAGTTGTGGTGCTGGCAAAGAATGCTGTAAGTACCATGGACTGTTAAAAGAACTAACACATCTGTCCTGGAGGAAGTGCAGCCGAAATGCTCCTTGGAAGCGAGAAAGGCCAGACTTCGTCTCACCTATTTTGGTCATGTTGTCAGAAGGAACCATTCCTTGGAGAAGGATGTCATGCTTGGTAGGATGGAGGATAAACGAAAGAGGGGGAGGCCTTCAACGAGATGGATTGACACAGTGGCTGTGATGATGGGCTCAAGTATAGCAGGGACCATGGAGCTGGCATGGGATCAGGCAGTGTTTCAGTCTACTGTGCATGGGGTCGCTATGAGTCGGAAATGACTCAATGGCACCTAACAACAAAAACAACATCACTATGGAAGTAGATTGCCCAACCTTCCTTCCAAGGAGTGGCTAGTGGGTTTGAACTTATTTGTGTGATTAGCAGTCATGTGCCTTAGGCACTACGCTACCAGTGCTCCTATGGTCTAAACAAAAACAACCTAATTAAAAGACGGAGACTGTCAGATTGAATTTAATAGTGTAAGGGTAAGAGCTCTGGTAGCATAGTGCCTAAGGCACTTGACTACTAACCAGAAGGCTGACGGTTCAAACCCCCCAAGCCACTCCTCGGAAGGTTGGCTGGGCGATCTACTTCCATAGTGATACTGCCTCAGAAACCCAAGGAGGGGTCACTATGAGTCGGGTCCAACTGAACAGCACATAACAACAACAACAACAGTGATAAATAAGTCAGTCTAGATGTTTTAGGAAGAAGAAAATGGTCAACTTCTCAAAAAAATTTGGTCTCAGAAACACTGCTATTTAATCTGGCAATTAGGAGGCTATAAGTAACCCTACCTGAAGCACTCTCTCCAGTCTTGGTTTTGGCACCATAGTTTTCTCTTTATTTTCCCACTAACTCTTTTATCTATCCTTTTCTGTTACTTCCCTGCTTAAGTACTGGGGATTACAAGCTAAACCTCTATCTTCCTAAACAGTGTAAGAGTTATGACACAGACACATACAAGTTTGTATTGGAAGCATAAAACAAAGGCACCTAACTTTCCTGAGGAATGGCAGGAAAAGCTTTAGTTTTCTCTTAGATGAAAGGATACTGGAGCTAAAAATTTTAAAATGATATTTAAAAAAATTAAGCAAACAAATGGAGTGTCATTGTATTTTCAGGAAACACAAATAACTCAGGCTTATTAAGATATGACATGGAAGAAAGTAGTAACACAGGATAGGACTGAAGAACTTGGAAGCCTACTACTCCGCATTAATGAGTCAAAGGAATAACCAATAGGTCTAAAGTTATTTAATGGCTATAGAATAGGTTGTGGCATAGGACACATTCCATGGATGTAATAAACATGAAAATTCAGATGGCTAATTTAATAGGAAATGGAGGAGAGGAAAAAGAGACATGAAGGATGACAGAGACAAGGAACACAGAAAGAAAGTTTGGAGGGGAAGGTAATGAGATCAGTTTTACAAAAAGTACTTAATTTGTTTTTTTATTTTTTGTATTTTCATTTTCAATTACAGATTTGATAAATATTCTACCTTGTTCCTTTCACCTGATTTCAAAAAGTCAGATTAATGAATGATTTTATATATATATATATATATATATATCAAAAGTGGGGCAATATAAATTTGATTTAGTAATTTAGACTTGGGACTCATTACTGTGCCTTAACTCAAGGAATCTTGATAGAAAAACAAGTATATAATTTCACACTCAATTAGACTTAGGAAATGATAACATTGTGTTAGGGAACTTTTCCCTAGATAATGGCAGTTCAGATACTTTTTCCTTTCCCCTTCTACCACCCAAACTTAAAGCTAGGTGTTTCAGGACTACATCCAATCTCTGTTACCTAATCTCTGTTATAATACCTAGCCCCTGTCACAATGCCATCTCAGAGACTCCAACGATGATATACAGATTTCCACCTCCAGTACATACCTCACCCCTGAACTCCCAAATACATATCCAGCTACCTCAGGGACACATGCACAAGATGTCCCAGCAATTTCTCAAACTCACTTTCTCCTCCCACTTGCAGTATCCCCATATTCACAAAGACTCTACTCTTCTCAAATCCATGACTTCATTGATGGCAAACAGCCTCTAGTCATCCAAGCCAGACTTGACCAAGAGCCATTCATACTCCATTCTCTTGGCACGCCCACATCCTCCCATCTTTAACCAATTCTGTACATTCTACCTCTCTAAGATCTTTCACAAGTTGCATCTTCTCCATTCCCACTGTCACTATTTTAGTTCAGCCCCTCATTATACCTCTTGCCTAGATTACCATAAGAGTCACTTAGTCTCCCTGACAACTCATAGGCCACTCCAACCTTCTCATTGCCATCTGAGTGTTCTTTCTCAAAGACAAATCTTATCCATATCACTCCAGACAGGACAAAATACTGACACTCCCAATGAAATGTGCTATTTCAGGTTACTTACCGTCTGTGAATTTGTTGTTGAGTTGCCATCAAGTTGATGCTGACTCAAAGCGACCTCATATGTACAAAATAGACCTGCTCCATCGGTTTTTTTTTTTTTTTTTTAATTTGTTTATTTATTTATTTGTTTTTCAAGGCTGTGACCTTTCAGAAACTGATCACCAGGACTGTCTTCCAAGGTGCCTCTGAGTGGGTTCCAATTGCCAACCTTTCCATTAGTAGTTGAGGACTTAACCACTTGCACCAACCAGAGTCCACCTCTTAGTTTACCGAAGAAGTTCCTATTCATTTTTTAAGACTGCTCAAGTATCTTGTTCTCTAGGAAGGGTCCTATGACTATTACATCTCACTTGTCTGGTGGTGCCTTACTGTGCCACTATTACATTCAGTACATGTCTTTAATACTCTGTCACATATCACACTCTTTGTTTAGTTTGCTTTCCGTACTGCACTGTGAGTTCCATGTGGGATTACATATTATTTCTAAGTCACTAGCATCTGGTATAGGTATTAATGTTAGTTCAACTGCTGAACTGAAGAAAGGGCTAGTCAACAGAGTCAAAACTGCAGTAGGGTCATCTAGAATGTCACAGAAAAACTGTTGTTTTGACACTTTGGAAACAAGATACCTTACTGGGAGCCTTTCAGTAGCCTGATGTGGGGAGTCACTGCAACACACTGAGAAGTAAATTAATAAGAAAATGGGTAAGTTTTGTGTTGAAATGGGTTTGTTTTGAGGTAAAGGAAGGCCTTGCTTTATTTTTCAGGCTAGAGAGGTCAGGGATAAAAAGCAAGTAGTAAGAGAGAAGTTGGAAACACTAAAGGAAATAGCTGATGAAGCAAGGACTAGGAATAGACAGGATAAAGAGTTCAAGAGATGGGTTAGTATTAGAAATGATTAAGGAAGAAAGAACAGATGAGTGGTATTATTTCTGAGCTTAAAGCTATTAAGAAGAAAGGAAAGAATCTGGCCCTATGTCAATACCCTGCACCAATGTGTTCCTAAGTTATTATTTGGTGAAAAGTGAGTAAAATTTTAGGTGAGCTTAATTCTAGGTAAATTTATCCTGTAAATACATTACACTCTTTTATTAAAAGGTGATAATTAACAACCCAAATGTTTCCTTTTTGTTGTTATTTCTGGGAAACTCAGTTACCAATTAAGAAATAGTGCTTATTTGTGTGGTAATATTTATACCATTTCCTTCTTTATTTAGACAAGTCACATGGGTCTGACCAGCTTGCCCTCCCCCTGCCAAAAGTAAATGAAACTCCAAGGCCCTAAATACTATAAGTTATCTTGATTTATAGTATGAATTTCATATTTCAAATCATTTTCAACCCCTTTTTCATTTCTAATAAATGTACTAAGCTAGCAGATGAACATCAAGTCATACCGGTGCATCCTGATCCATCAAGTAAGCACCATGGCCTTGACTAATGGCTTCCCGGTATTCTCGATGGGCTTCTTCCTTCTCTTTAACCTGGAAAAAATAGTTCTTACATCCGTCATAATATGGTGACTTCAGACTTTAATTAGGAAAACTTCATCATGTTTACTGAAACCTAGGCAAAAACAAAAAACTAATACTGGGTCTAAGCAAACTGGAAGCTTATGGAAAGTGATCATCAATAATTTAAACCCAAAAGGACAATTAAAGAAAATTCTCTTAAAACTAGAAACAAAATATTTGAATTTATAAAGTGGAAAAAAGTTTGAATGAGACTTTATTTTGAACAAAAAATACTAAATTAAGTTTATTTTATCTTAAATCTAACAAAATACAGATTGTTATTACAATTAGGGGCTAATGTTTAGAATAAACAAAGAATAAATCAACTTATTTCTTTTGGTATAATTTTTCTAAATTCACTTCAGTTTAAACTTTACAGCAGGTTCAAGAGAATCAGTTTTTGCAAAAGTAAATAAGGGCTTCACCAGTTATCCAATGTACCTCTTAAACTTTTGATATTGAAGTCATTCTTCTCTGAATTGCCTAGGCATAAAATTTGCCAGACACTGACCAACAAAGCCTGGATGAACAGGGATATAAAGAGGTAATCAGGGAGGATATCTGACTGGAGACTAATTGTGTAAGTACAAAAATACCTTTGCTTTACAACTAGGTTGTGGCTCAACCTCACTGCTATGGAGACTCAGATAACGAAGTTTTAGGTAAACGGAAAAACAAAGTGAAGTCACAATATATTTTCTTCCTTTACCTGTCCTACTATATGCTTGTCATTGATGAAAGCTTCAAAGCCACACACAGCAGCCTTATCATCCAGAGGAAAGATATATTTTGCCTCAATGGGTACATGACTTTGATTTGTGTATGTTTGAAACACGATGACCTGAAGAAGAAAAATCCATACTTCATAATGTATCTACTAATAAAATTCTTATGCACATTTGTTTTAAATTCCTTGACTTTTTATCATGCCCCTCAAGTTCCCAACTCTGGCTTCAGATATTAGAAGAGATACTACAACAATGCAGAGTCCATGTCACAGGAGAAAATGCACTGTCTCCATGTTTAGGTAGTTCATACACACCTAACTGAAGATGAGTCACTTGGTAGCAGTGTAACTTAGTTAGCATTGTAGCTACTATTAAGCTGGCCAGGAAAAAATCCCTTTTTCAGGCCTTCTTATAGCATGTGGGCGTCATATTATTCCAGAATACTCTTTATATTCAATCTATGATGTCTTGGTACTCTTCCTTGGAGATGTCTTTTTGGTTTTACCTACTTCTCTTGTGGCTTTTCTAATCTAAGTCTTCAATTCTTCCCACCTAAATGTTGTTGTTGTGTGCCGTCAAGTCGGACCCAACTCATAGAGACCCCTCCTTGGGTTTCCGAGGCAGTATCACTACAGAAGTAGATTGCCCCATCTTCCTTCCGAGGAGTGGCTGGTGGGTTTGAACCACCAGCCTTCTGGTTAGCAGTCAAGTGCCTTAGGCACTATGCTACCAGAGCTCCCTCCTGCCTAGATAGCTCCTGAATAAAACCTTTTCCATCCCACTCTATCTTACTGTCTTCTTTCCTATTAATCTTTGTAAAAGGATAGTTTTATCACATCACTCCCTTACCAAGAAAAAGCAGGAATTTTTAAATATTTGGTATTTTTTAATAAACAGTGGTACTAATAAGGAAAAATATTTAACAATTTATAGTCACCAAAGACACCAAAATGGGGTGGGGGTGGGGCCTATTATAAAATGTTGTCCACAATTGGATTTGCTAAAAGCTATGGTGTATAGGGCACCAGGGAAGTGTTGAGGGGCTCTAGGGGCTCTAGCCTTTACAAAGGAGCTCTGGTAGCATAGTGCCTAAGGCACTTGACTGCTAACCAGAAGGCTGGCGGTTCAAACCCACCAGCCACTCCTTGGAAGGAAGGTTGGGCAATCCTACTTCCGTAGTGATAATGCCTCGGAAACTCAAGGAGGGGTCGCTATGAGTCGGGGCTGACTCGACGGCACATAACAACAACAACAACAAAGCCTTTATAAACAATTCGAGGCACCCCAAGTCAGCAGGCTGGCACCCTTTTGGAGATCCAGTCTCTTAAAATCCTGCAAACAAATGCTTCAATGGCTAGGGGGAGAGTTCTTGACAGATTACTTCCCAAGAACTAGGGTCGGGACTTACCCAAAACAACCCCACAGGTACAAGTCCGAAAGTTTCTGAGCTACCTGTGTGGCCCCATGAGAGTCTAGAAGGGGAGAAACCAAGACTGGAAATGGCACAGGGCTCTGTTTGTCCTGATCAAAGCGCTACTAAGATATCTTGCTCACTCTTTGGTTGCACAGAAAACTCTCTCAGTTTCACACAACTCTACCAAACTCCTCTGGCACATATTTTCTTGGCATGTATTTCATGAGTATGATTATCATTGAATCGTATTTTAGGTAAGCGTCTTCATATTACTCTGTAGATATCCTACTGTCTCTGCTTAACAAGTTTGTCTTTGCATGTGAGTTCCAGGCTCTGTCAGCTTGATTTTCCTTATATATTCATGATGTATAACTGGGCACTCAAATAAATAAGTAATTTTAGGTAATGATGATAGAAGTATTTTTATTAGAATTTAGAACATAAACTAATATAAGATGTTGACATCTAATTTTCCACATTTTGAAAAAATCATTATATAAATAATAAACTAAAAACATTAAACTTATTCCAAGAAAAGTTAAAATACATGAGCCAAGCACAGAGAGGTCCTTTCTATTCAGCCTCTGCTCAGATATGCAAGATTAATCTACAAGATAGCTGTCTGACCATAAATTAATAAAAACTCTCTACTAAATGAGTTATTCTGGGGCCAACCTTCCTCATGGCAGAGGCCATTTCAGGAATGAAATATCATATGGGGCAAGTTGTAAAATTCAAAGGACATATGCCTCTTGTAACGTATTCATAATTTGTTATGCATCTCCAACATGTCAAAAAATTTACTAGTTAATTGCATTCATGGTACCTAAAAGTCACAACACCAATGGGTGATTATTCCCATTTTGCACATCTGGAAACTGAGGCACAAAGAAGTTAAATAACTTCCTCAAAGTCAAAGCACTAGAAAAGAACAAACCAAGGATTCTGACTCCTGTCTTTCCTCTGACTCCTGTCTGTCTTTCTGACTCCAAACCCCATGCTCTGTTATATATCACCTACAGAACTGACTCAATGGCAGGAAGTTTTACACCATGTTGCACTATGGTACAGTATTAGGATCTAGAACTCTAGAGTCAAAATGACTTGAGGTCAAAAGTATGCTCTATCATATTGTTTAATGTCACTGTCAACTTACAGGTAGAGTAAAAATAGCATTTAACTCCCAGAGTTACTGCATGTGAAAAACTCAATTCAGTGCCTGATTCATTGAAGTTGTAATTATTGTTACAGCTCCTAAATGCCTCCAAAGGTATGAAACATTGACTACCAGCCCACATGTAGGTTTTCTCAATGTTTATGACATCCTCCTGAGCTAGCTCAGAGGTATGGGTATGGAACAGAGCAGCCCAGACAGTGGTGGTCAGTTATTATCAAACTGGAATAAATATCATAAATCACATGCTCTTTCCCACTCTACCCTACTCCCATTTCCCCAATTTAATGGATCACTAAAATTAACCTAATTTCCCAATGAAGCTTATCAAAATCATGATGTTATTATTTTCCTAACAGATTTTTAGAGTTGCTTAACATAATCTTCAATATTGATTAGGAGGCAATGATGAGGTTAAATCTTAGAATTCAATTTTAGAAAACTGAGATTTCTTCAAGCTATACTACCAAATGTAGCCACCTACCTGCATATGTCCCCATAACCTATACCTTCTGTCCCAACTAACTGTGAGCTCCCAGCCAAGGCCAGACACTGCTTCTGAGCACTGGTTCTCATCCTCTTGCCTACAAGAGGAAGAAGTTCTAGCAATTCCCATTCTCATGGGGAAGTTTTCCTCTCCTGCAATGGAGCACTACCACTGGCACATACACATGCTGTTATTTCTCCCACTTCAAAAGAAAAATAAAGCATTCTTGACCTCACTTTCCTCTCTGCTACTGTCCCATATTTTCTCCTGTGTCTCAAAACTCTTGTCTTCCATTCACTCTTAAACTCAACCTAATTAGGCTCGCACCTCTGTCAATCACAAAAAAAGATATTGGTCAACATCACCAATGATCTCATTGCTAAATTCAGCAATAATTCTGTCTTTACTTTACTTGATCTTGCAGCAGCATCCACCACACTACTTGTCTGTCCATTTCCCATACCATTTTAGCATACTTTCATTCCTTGGAGAAATTTTATAACTTATATTCCCAAATACAAATATGCACCACCATTTATCTGTCAGTTTGTTGTACTGTGCTGACTTGCATGTTGCTGTGATACCGGAAAGTATGCCACTGGTATTTCAAATACCAGCAGGGTCACCTGTAGTGGGCAGACTACAGCAGAGTTTCCAGACTAAGACATACTAACAAGCAGAAGTAGTGATTTAGCTCTGAAAAAAATAAGCTACTGAAACCTTTATAACTAGCAATGGAACACTGCCAGATATAGTACCAGAAGATGAGCCCCTCAGGCTGCAAAGTATTCACAATACAACTGAGTAAGAGCTTCCTTATCAAAGTAGAGATGACTTTAATGATGTGGATAGAATAAAGCTTTCAAGATCTTCACTTCCTGATCTGGGACAACTCAAAATGAGAAGAAATAGCTACAAACATCTATTAATAACTGAGTCATGGAATGTAGAAAACGTGAATTTTAGAAAACTGGAAGTGATCAAAACTGAAATGGAACACATAAAGATCAATATCCTAGGCATTAGTGAGGTGAAATGGACAGGCACTAGCCATGTGAATCATACAAACATAGGGTCAACTATGCCAGGAATGAAAAACTGCACAGGAATGGCATCACATTCATTGTCAAAAAGAATATTTCATAATCTATCATAAAGTACATTGTGTCAATGACAGGACAACATCCATCAGCCTACAAGAAAAATCAGTTAATACAATTATTATTCAAATTTACTCACCAACCACTAAAGCCAAAGATGAAAAAATTGAAGATAAGTACCAACTTCCGAACTCTGAAATTGACCAAACATTCAATCAAGATGTATTGATAATTACTGGTGATTAGAACACAAAAGTTGGAAACAAAGGAGGAGGATCAATTGTTGGAAAATATGATGTTGGCGATATAAAACTATACTGGAGATCACATGATAGAATTTTGCAAGACTAATGAATTACTTATTGCAGATACCACTTTTCAACAATATAAAATGCACGTGGATATAACTGGATGGAATACACAAGAATCATATCAACAATATCTGTGGAAAGAGACAATGGAGAAGCTCAATATCATCAGTCAGAACAAGGTCAAGGGAAACTGCAGAAAAGACCATCAATTGATCCTATGCAAGCTGAAGTTGAAGCTGAAGAATATTAAAACAAAACCACAAGAGCCAAAGTACAACTTTGAGTATATCCTACCTGAACGTAGAGACTATCTGAACTATAGATTTGATGCACTCAACACTAATGACCAAAGCCACAGGAGTTGTTGGATGACATCAAGGATACCATACATGAAGAAACAAAAAGGTCATTAAAAAGACATGCAATGAATTAAAGACCAAACTGGATGTTAGAAGAGACTCTGAAACTTGATCTGGAACAAAGAGTAGCTAAAGCAAATGGAAAAAAGATGAAGTGAAAGAGTTGAACATAAGATTTCAATGGGCACCACAAGAAGACAAAGTAAAATATTATAATGAAATGTCCAAAGACCTGGAGTTATAAAATCAAAAGGAAAGAATATACTTG